TTGACTCAGCTCTCTCTTCACCACGACGGACCGGATTGCATCTCTGTTATTCGCAGATGGATGGATGGTTAAGTTTTTGCTGTAATTAAAGTTTGAGAGTTTCATATTTTTGTATTGTATATAGAAGTTTGGTCTTTGTGTTGCAGTTTTTGTTTTTAGGTAAATGTATGAAATGTTCCCTGATCAGCCAGTATACATATATGTTCCCCTTGTGTCTCAGTTTTTCAGGTATATTAATACTTCAGTTGCTTATTTTACGCTAAAACTGTAAAATTTGTGGGTGAAACGATCATCTAGAAACATTATCTACGTTCTTTAGCTCCTGAGCTGCAGGTGTGGATCCGACAGCATGAAGCCGCTGAGATGGCAGAAGAAAAAACTAAACAACCCCTAAAGAGTGAAACGGTGAAAGTCTGCGGCGGAGTGCAAACTTTGGGCGTGACCCTGCGTTTTAAATACTATCTTGATCTTAAGTTCTAACTTCATATATTTTCTAAAGGAGCAACAGAATAAAACTGGAAGATTTGTTTTATTTGTCATATGCCACATATCCACATTATAAACAACTGTAGTTATTCCAGGTGTGAAAACTAATTAATGCTAATTAGCATCAGATTTACAGCAAAAACACGTTTTTATAGAAACAACAATCCAGGCCATTGCAACATTCAGATTTATTCCATATATACTTTGAATAAGTCCAAAAGAGTAAAAATATGATTTTTCCATCGTCCAGGAGCCTCGCCTGGTTTTCCTTGGAACCATCTTTGGTTTTTCCCATCAGCCTCTCTGTCTAACATCTACTAAGGTCCAGGGACTTCTTTCCTAAATCCAAGTCCAAAATCCAGCTTTCTTCAAATGACTGTGATGGAAGCAAAGAGCAATAACTGGGTTCATAAGATGAGTCTCTGTCCCAGGATCTTGCGGTTGATCTCAGCTAAGGCCACGGAGAAGACGAAGGCCTTCTCATCAGACAGGCTGGCGTAGATGTCCACCTCCTTTTCTTGTTTTTCTGCAAATAAATACCAGAAACCTTTCAGGAATTTTCCCCCTATGATCAGTCATCTCATTTCTGAACTTTCCCAGGAATAGAATCTTTCCCGGTTCTTTTTTTCCAGAGGGAAGGTTTCCCAGAAACACAGATTATAGAGGATTACAGATGATAGAAATTAGCTTTCTCATCTATTTATCACAGAGCTACACCCCCCAAAGGTCATTTAGGTCATCTTAGCCTCGAGCATTGGACAGACTTACAGCTCTTCCTCATTAGGAACCACGCCCAGCCGGAAGGAAATAAAACCATTTCACGATTCCAGTGATGGAAACCTGTTTTCCCCCAGTGAGCCTGACGGTTCAGGATGCCCCACTGTGCCCCGCCCCACTGTGCCCCGCTCCTCGTGCTCCGCCCCACTGTGCCCAGCTCTTCGTGCTCCGCCCCACTGTGCCCAGCTCCTCGTGCTCCGCCCCACTGTGCCTCGCTCCTCGTGCTCCGCCCCACTGTGCCCCGCTCTTCTTGCTCCGCCCCACTGTGCCCCGCTCCTCGTGCTCCGCCCCACTGTGCCCCGCTCTTCTTGCTCCGCCCCACTGTGCCCCGCTCCTCGTGCTTTGCCCCACTGTGCCCCGCTCTCCTTGCTCCGCCCCACTGTGCCCCGCTCTCCTTGCTCCGCCCCACTATGCCCCGCTCTTCTTGCTCCGCCCCACTGTGCCCTGCTCTTCATGCTCTGCTCCACTGTGCCCCGCTCCTCGTGCTCCGCCCCACTATGCCTCGCTCCTCGTGCTTTGTCCCACTGTGCCCCGCTCTTCGTGCTTTGCTATAAAATGGCGCTCTGACCTTTGTCATCGTCCTGTTTCTTCAGGCCCACGGTCTTGGGCCGTCCCCGGCCTCTCCGGATGGGATCCGACTGACTGTTGGCTCGGGGCCGTCGGTGGTTCTCCGAGTCGCTGGTCAAAGGCGAGCCGATCCTTTCTCTGCGAATCCGCTCCGTTCTCCGCCGCTTGAAATCCAGTTTGTCTTAAAGGAAAACAAAAGACCCGTCAGGAGGGGGAAAAGTTTGAGTGAAACTTCAGACCAGAAGCTGCTGGAAGCTGAAGGGTCCATGAAAGGAAACATCTGGATTTTACTGCCGTTCAACTAAAACATGAGATGTTTTAATCTCCTTTGTTGTAAAAGCATGTGCTGCACCGGGTCTGAGGAAGCTGTCAGCTGATTAAACATCATCAAAGCTGCTAATGTGCTCATTCTAGATTTATTCTAGAAGGAAGAGTTCTATGCTGATCTAGAGCTCAGCTTCTAATATCAGCAGATGTTTTTTTTCTTGGTGGATGTTGAGAGCAAAGCCTGAATAATCAGGAAGTGATTCCCTGTTGTTGGTTCAGGAATGCTGCGAGATTCCTGCTTTGTTTCCCAAAGAGCGTGGAAATCCTCCATATTTCCACTCCAGTAAACACGTCTAGCCGTTTAACCAGCTGCAGGCTACAGCCTCTGGTGCTCAACTGTTGCCGTGGTTACTAAAGATTATCATTCACTATTTTTGATGAGTTTCAACCTTTGATTGGATTAATTTAAACCACTGATGCTGTTTTACAGCAGTGTCACTAAGAGCATTTCGTTCACAGAAAGCAACGTTTCATCACTTTAAGATGAATGAATGAATAATGAAGGTTGGTTTTTACCTGCGATAGCTGCTGACGTACACTCACTGAGCTTAGCATTCAGGAGCTTCCTGCTGATGAACACGTAGCCACATGGACACGACTTACAGGCCACAGGAATCTGCAGAGAAGATCAACCGTCAGACCAACCTGGAAAGTCTGACCTCATCATGGATCCTGAACACGCACAGTCTTCAAAAACCTGTTTCTGGAGTTTAAAGTTCAGTTTACTTTTCACTACTACGGGTAGCAGGCTGCTAACAGCCAGGTTTAGCGCCCCTGAAGGCCACTGTGAAAACTGTACTGTCGGCGACCCGTGGCTCTTTAGCGCCCCCTGTAGCTCCCTGTTTGTTATAAAATGGTGAGCAGGAGGTCAAACATTGTTTTCAATGCTGTAAAATGTGTTTAATAAATACTTTTATAACATTTCTGTCAAGATTTGCATCATAGCCTTCAGCACAGGTTCCGGCGTGGCGTGGCGCGGCGCAGCATGGCATGGCGCGGCGTGGAGGATGTAAACAAAGCGATGGGGGTGTCTCAGTCTTGGTGGTCTAGAATACACCACCTCTGGACTACTGACCTAATCAGTTCTGCAGAACTTTGGGACCTGATCTGCTGACCTTCCACCAATTATCAAATCATCATGTAACCATAGAAAATAGATCTTTACTGAAATTTAGAATTATTAGTTATTTTATCAACAAAGGTCAGAGGTTAACTCGCAGCACTTCTCAGCAGCTGTAGATAATAGTAACCAGACATCACTGATTTCTGGGGACAGTCCCTGTTTTGGACCACCTGTCCCCGGCTAAAGCTGTCCCTCAAATGTCCCCGATTTATGAATGAGGGGGAAATGCTGCGTGTAGAGTGTTATTACGGTAGAAGGAGCGTGGGAGCATGCTGCACGCTGAAACGGTTATTACGGTAATATTAGGAAAAAATGAGAAGCCGAGCTTTTAAAACAGAGAAAGAACTGGAAGTTCATTCATTATCAGCTGCTGGGGAGCCGCCCTGCCTTATGGCCGCTCTGATAATCCATTCATTTCATCTGAACTCGGCTGATCCATGTTCGGTTAAAGAAAATAAAGGACTGGATGTTTATGCTCTACTAAAGATGAGGAGCGGAAATGTAAATAAACCAAACTCATCAACAAACAGACAGATGCTACATAATTTACTATAGAATATATCGGCTTATTGTTGCAGCCTAATGCTACACAGTTAGCTACTGTGCGTCTCCGTGGGAGTGGGGAGTACCAACATGGTGGACAGTGGCTTCACTTTTTCCAGCCAATCAGCAATCCAGTGAATAAATAGAGATCACTGACAGAGACAGCCACGG